CTTTGTGAGGATCCTTTAGCCCAGGGTTTCTCAAACTCGGTCCTGGAGGGCCGTTGTCCTGCAGAGTTTAGCTCCAACCCTGATCAAACACACTTACCTGTGAGTTTCTAGTGATCCTGAAGACCTTGATTAGCTTGCTCAGGTGTGTTTGATTAAGGTTGGAGCTAAACTCTGCAGGACAGTGGCCCTCCAGGACCGAGTTTGAGAAACCCTGCTTCAGCCCCACCTCGAGTCTCTCCGGAACATATGCGTCACATTGGGTATTCATCTCCTCGGACTTCAAGTCAGTAGGTCGGGCTCCTAGCTCCAGTTTGGCTCATCCCTCCATTTTTTCTACCGCTCATCTTCTCCCTCCGTCGCTTCCTCCCTGGCTCCAACCTCCATCATCTCTGTCTTGATATTTCCTTCTACCAGCCCCTATGGTAAAGTTTATCTCTAGATCCTTGTCCACCTCCAGAACCTCACCCTCCGTCATCTGTTGGACTTGTGCAGCATGAGGACTCAATTTCCTGGGGAAGGGTGTTATGTCACAGTCAAGTCATGATTAGTTTCTTTATCATATCTTGTTTGGTTTAATAGTTTTGTTGTCATGTTCTGTTTAGTTTCTTTGTCACAATTTTCCCTCTCACTGGTTTGCCTGAGTTCTAGTTCATAGTTTGTTACCATGATTTGTATTGAGTTGCACACCTGTTAGTTCCTCTCTCTATGAAGCCTCTACTTCTAAAAAGTGCAATGTGCTCTGATTGGTTGGCTGGACAAGTGTGTTATGATTGGTCAACTGCTTCGAGTGTTTTTGGGAAATATCACTCCCCATACCCAAATTGCAAGTTAACACACTACTAATGCAACTCAACCAGGCTCAACCGGTACGTTCTCAGAAGAAGACTAAATCAAGATGTTTTAGGGAGTTATATATAGACTCTATATATACTGTATATATATATATATATATATATATATATATATATATATATATATATATATATATAGAGAGAGAGAGAGAGAATAATAGGAGTGGCTTTATACTTTGTAACTTTGCTGACATTTTTCATGCTAAAATAGCAACATTTAACAATGAAGAAAGTTGAAAATTTAGTTTAAAAAAAGCATAATAGATCCTCTCCAATATTTTTGTGAAAAACATAATACTTTTTAGTGGTCAACCGCCGATATGTTATTTTTTAAATATTAGCATCGGCCGATCAGTTTTTCTGTTTGCCCGATGTATTGGAAGCCAGACTTTTATTTTGACAAGTACCGAGAACGCTGGCTCTGAGAACAGCAGCACCTGAGCAAACAGCACTTTCCATTCTCTGTCTTCATTAGTTGTGATCTCTGTTTAACAGTTTTGAGTAATATTTTACTGGATCGAACTGATAAACAAATTAAACTTTATATGAAAAAGTATTATAGTGTTTGATTTTATATTATTAGTAATAGTAACAGAAAGCCAAACACTATTATACTTTAAGATTTACCGTCAACAGAGTCAGAATAGTCCGTCCATATGAATTGAATGCGGACCGGAAAGTTTACAGTAGCTCAAACTATGAAACGCTATGGGCTCTATGCAAGGCGGTATTTCCGGTGAAGGTTTAAGGATGCTTGATAACTTCCGCCAATCGTAGAGTCCAATGCAATACCGAGAATTTATATTGAATTTTATACTCCATGGTTATACTAAAGAAACGTTAGTCACAAAAAACAGACAAAACAGACACCCCTCGTTGTGTTTATGCTTCTTTTTAAAATTATATTAAATAAACATAACTATATAAAAAATTAGATCTAAACCTATGAACGTTTCGTTTCAAAGACGGGAGGACAGTAAATTATGAAGACTCTGCCATAATCCCGTTTTCCTCGGTTTTCCCCCGCTTTAATCTCCCCAACCGGAAACTGTTGAGCATCCTTGCGTCAAATGCGGAACTTATGCGTGCATATAGCCTATATTGTAACGGTCACCAGCTGGAGTGCCCAAACCTGTAAGAAAGGACATAAGTACTCGTTCATTCGACTTTTGGCCTATAATCTATATTGAACTTGCGGAATCAACAATAAAATCTATGTTGATTTAACGAATAGCAGGTGAAAGAGACACATATAGCCGTTTAGCCCCATAGACTCCCATTCATTCTGCACTTGCCCGCGATCACCTCCAGTGGAACTGCAACCAAGATGACACACAATAGGGCTAATAGGAAGTGCCAAGGCTCTCCGTTAGACGGGCTTTGATTTCCCATAACTCACTGCTCGGACTCATCTTCACTGATCACACTCACCTGTACCTCATTCACTGATTGCATTCACCTGTGTCTCATCCTGTTAGTCTGTCTATATATACCTTGTTCATTCATTCACTCACTGTGAAGTCTTGTTGTACTGTGTGTCTGCATTTCCGAGCGGTTTCCTGTGTTTGTTTTCTGTTTTTGACTTTGGATTGTTCTTGGACTTTGATTTTTACTGCCTGCCCTGACCTCTGCCTGTTTCTTGGATTCCCACTGTGCATTCTCCATTGCCTGTCTGCTGATTCTTGACCCTGCCTGTACGACTATTCTGAAATAAAACTGCATTTGCATCTTCATCTCCCTGTCTCGGAGCAGTTTGTAACAGCTATATTGCCGTGTCTGAATGTCATATTCATGTAATTTACACCTTGTCTTTAATTTGAAAAATTGGATTCTCACTGCGCACAAACTTGCCAGATTATGGAGTGCCCATTTGGTTACAGTGTTAACTTCCTTTTTATTTATTTTTAATTGTTTCAAAAATGTCTTTATATGTGAAAAATACTGTAAAACGTCTGTTTAATTAGGAGATATAGTAGTTTAAAAAATTATTTCTACTTTATTAAATATTAATTCAAATAAATGTACGTAAAGTGTATGCGTGTGTGTATTTTAATATATATATATATATATATTGATAGATAGTGTTCAAAAGAACAGCATTTATTTTAAATAGAAATCTTTTTAAAACTAATTCAGCAAGGACATATTAAATTGATCAAATCACTTTTGATCTATTTAATATGTCCTTGCTGAATAAAAGTACTAATTTCTTTAACCAAAAGACTCCAAACTTTTAAACAGTAGGGCACATCTATATCATTATCAATCACTTGTTTCTGTGAAAGGAAATGCTAAGGGCTGTTTTCATCCGCAGTAAAGGAAGTGAGTGAAAGACAGAGAGAAAGCAAATGAGGGCACCGTTCAATGAACTTCATTTACCACTTCATGAATATTCAAAGCAGTTTGTTCACTCACTGAACACTTGCCCCAGTTTTGTACTCCTGAACTGAAAACAGTAAAAAAATTGCAACCAGAACCAAAAACTGAAAGAAGTAAGGGGCAATCAGTTTAAATAAAAGTGTTGATATGTGTAAAATGAATTGTATTTATATATATATATATATATATATATATATATATATGAAGAGTTCAGATGCAAAAGCCTCTAAATGCCATTTGAAATTTTCTTCTTTAATGATTTTCTTCTTTTTTATCAAACTTGTATATTTAAGTTCAGTAATTTCACTTAAATAACAATTAATAGGTAATTATCATTGCCATTTAAGTGAAATCAGTGAACTTAAATATACAAGCTTAATAAAAATGATCATTCTAGAAGAAAATTTCAAATGGCACTTAGAGGCTTTTGCATCTGAACTCTTCATATATATATATATGTGTGTGTGTGTGTGTGTGTGTGTGTGTATTTATATTATAAAATAAAGATAAAAATAAAATATAAATACTTTGGCAGCTAAATGAAACAAAATATGTTTAAACTGAAGTACTAAAAAATCTCAAATTAAAATGAAAAGTGAAAATACAAAAAATGAAAAGCTAATTAAAAAAATGTATAATAGTATGTACATTTTATAACAACAAAAAACTATATGTCTACATCTCTACATACATTTTATTTTTTATTAAATGCTTTAAATACCATTTTAAATTAAAGGTATTGTAGGTAGGATGTTTATAAAAACTTTTTTCCAAATTTGTTTAAACTTTCTATATATCAATGCATAATTAAAATGTAAGTACTCTGATAAAAAAGAGTATAAAAATCGAGTGACTCTAGACCGTTTGATCTGCACTAAACACAGCTCATTATTTCCAACCGGGACGAAATAAAGGATTGGCTTAGGCGACTGTCACTCTCGCAACTATGGCAACCACCCTTTTGCCACACACCACCTGCGCACTTGCGCATACCCGTTTGATTTGAGTAATTCAAGAGGCACGGACCCTAGGAATAGCAAAACAATGGCAGAATAAGACCAATCTAAATTCACATATGCAGTTTGCAAATGCAAACCAGGCAAAAAAGGAAGACAGTAACTTGAAAAAGGTAATGAACAAAAAGTCTTTGGATAAACAACGAAATAAAATGCGTGTCATTATCGTCGTGGCTTTCCAGCGATGGCGAGAACTGAGGGACCTCAAGGGGCTGAAAAGTGTCGCCTTGATGGCTTTATTCCCGCTGGACAGGTAAATCTTTCTTTTTGAATTTTGATCATACATATTTTTTCTTTGATACACATCTTTTTTAATGTTAATTAATACAAATGCAATTGTTCATTGTTATTCATGCTAGCTCAGGTCCATTAAATAATTTTAACTCAACAGATACAACATTTTAATCTATAAGTAAATGCTGAAAATAACTTTAACTAAGGTTAAAAAAAATACTGTAAACGTATTTTTCATTATTAGTTTATGGCATCTATTGTTTAACAAATGGAACCTTATTGTAAAGTGTTACCAAATATTCTTACTGACTTATTTTGTTCTGCTCGGCCAAATTTCCCTCGTCCATTTCGGGTCTCTAATATCAAACATATTATTGTGTCATTTCTATATGAATGTGGAGGGGCAGCATTACACGAAGCGGTAAAAGGTAATTCTGATTTAATGGGCTATATGGAGACATCCTGATCTGTCGGGACCATTAGTCTGGTCCACCACAGAGAGAAGCTGAGCCTCATGTACCTCTGGCATGCCTGGACTGGGACAGGTGCACACAGGGTTTCCTTCCAGTGAAAGCGTTCTGAGCTTTCCACAACAGCCTAAATACATCAACTGAGCCAGATCATCGACATTATTCCCCTCCAGGTCCAAGAGCTCCAGGTGTTCCAGCATACTGACTGGAGTCAGGTCTGAGATACTGTTATATGCCACATACAGCTCCTGAGGAAAACATAACACAGAGCAAGATTCATTTATCAGATGACTCTTTTACTTGTATTCAAAAGTTTTAAAACATAAACAATTTTATATTATTTAATACTTCATAATACTTATTATGTCTATAAATTATGCTATTATGCTTATTTTTGTCTATAAAAAAAGGTCTCCTATTAAAATACGTCCACATTAAAGGGTCACTCCACCAATTTGCATTAAGCTTTCCATTGTTAGAAACACAGTTATACTATTGAATTGCCGTGCAACACTCTCCCATTTCCCCCTGAGACGAGAGAAATCTGCTATTTACCTTTTTCACTTCCTCCTACAACGACGCAAAAATCGTCACTTTTACGTCATTGTAGGAGGAAGTGTAAGAGAAAGGGATTTCTGTAAAGACTACAAGCACTAGATCTCACTGTTTCAAACCCGCCCATAGGGGGTTGGGCCTAATGCACTAACAGACCGATCACAGATCAGTGCCAGTGCGTCTGATTTCACCGGCAGAAAAGTTTTGAAAATATGGACGAAGGTACTGAATACGCAGACGGATGCATTATGGAGGATTGGGATTACACATACTGTCAGATAGTGTTGCTTTCGTCAACGAAAATTATGACTAAATATCATCGTCAACGAACCTTTATCACGTGACGAAAACGAGACGAGACGCAACGTAAATGCTGGTCGTGTGACGATGACTATAACTAAATGTATAATGCAATATCGTTGACGAATAAAAACGAGACTAAATGTGGTTTACAAAAATAAAAACTATGCTAAAATGTCTCTTCATTTTCGTTGACCAAAACGAGACGAGACGAAATGTTATTTAACGTTATTTCGTCTCGTTTAGCCTACTTGCATTATTAGTATGCAGCATGTCTGTTTCCTGTGTCACTTCAGGGGCTGCATCAGATCGCACTGTGCAAACGCATGCGACTTCAGATCCTCAAGCCCCACTCGCGACATTATTTAGAAGAAGCAGTTGCGTGAGTTACAGCTGTTTCACACACACTCCGTGTGTAGCTTGTATGCGGTGCGTGTTGCAGTGTGTATGCAGGAGCAGCGTGCGTTATTGCTTTCACGTGTGCTGCGTTTGCTGTGCGCAACTGATCTACGGCTGTACCACAATCACAACATTTATTCTCTATTTTTTATTTCAAATCAGTATTTTAGCCTACATCCATTGTGTCGCGTTGTTGAGGTACTGTCTGTGTAGATCTCTATAGGCTAGCCTACTACTAGGTAGGCTTCTTATATATTGACTGGGTTAAATAGAATTGCCTACTAAAAAGAGTCTAAAATACAATTTTCATTGACTAAAACTAGACTAAAATCAAATGTCATCGGTTTTCGTCGACTAAAACTAGACTAGACTAAAAAAGAGTATGAACATGACTAAAACTAACAAAAACTAAAATGTTGGCTTGACACAAAGACTAGACTAAAACTAAAATTAAAACAGGCCGCCAAAAACAACACTAGGAACAACACATCTTTTTGGAAGCGAAGCTAGCAGGCTCTTGTTCTGTGGAGAAAGCCGAGTAGAAACTTTAGGGATTACCGTCCTTGTGATGATGAACCTGTAGGTTATCACCATGTGAACATCCGTTCACAGTGTTGTTGTTTACATTGTCTTTTTGTTTAATGTTATAATTGTTTTCATATTGTTTATTTTTGATTAAGGATATTATTTGTGATTATGTATCTGTTTGGATTTATATGCAATAACTCAGGGGAGTTATTCGACCCCTACAGTTGGTATGACCCACTAGTTTTGGCGGGAAAATAGCATATATAAAGGAGTGAGGCTAATTGAGTGGGGAGAGACGGGCCATGTGCCAGTACTAGTACAGGCCAATGCTGTAGGATGTGTCGTGATTGTCAGAGGTTTGTTCCTCGAGGCTGGATTTGATGCCATGTTTTTGCTGCTTTCAGCATGTTTTATTTATGTTTTGTAATGTTTATTTTGAGTATTTTTTTGATGATTTCTTTTGTTTATTTTTGAACTTGATTTGAAGCACGTGTGCTGAGACAGCTGTCCTCAATAAATTCACCTTCAACGATTTCCTGCATGGTACTCCAGTTATTCCATCCTTTCCCGGGCCTATCGGCAAATAAATTGACGCAACGACTCAGGGTAATGGTATTCAACTAGACCTCTGACAACAAATCAGTGTGGCATTCTAACATCAGGCGGCTGTAGTTGAAACCACATCCCGACACATGGTGGCAGCGGTGGTTCCAGGCCTTAAAAGGGAAATGAGTACACATGCAGTGGAAATCATGCTGCCCCAGCTGCACATCGTTTAAAGGAAAGTGGCAGAGGTTGATCTCTGGTCAAAGGGAAAATGCCACCAAAGAGGCAAGATGGAGCGAGGGGCAAAGATGAGGGTAAACCAGCAGAGGAACTGGAGGCAACGAGTTCATCTCCAATGCACGATGAAAGGACTTCAGGTAGTACGTCAGAGCCGATGGCTATAATGCTGCAAAACTTTCTGCATAGCCAACAGCAAAGAGAAGAAAGGCTGGAAAAAGAAGCGCAACGTCACGAGCACAAATATCGGATACTTCAACATCAATTCGTACAACTACAGTCCGAAGTTCACCAGGAAAGACAGGATCGGCTGGCAAGGGGGGTGCCAACAGTGAGTGACACAGAGGCTACAGAGTTGAGGTCGGATGCAAATACACGTCCCAGGCGACAACAGGCACTAAGTGATACGACGACATCAGCAGCAGATGAGGTCACAACGGGAAGACGAGATTATGGTTTAACAAGTTTTAACTGCCCAAGGATGCTGCCCTGGTCAAGTGATGAGGATATTGAGCATTATTTAATGACTTTCGAACGTATTGCTCAAGCGTGCAAATGGCCGAGTCAGGACTGGGTGTTACATCTCCTGCCGTTACTAACAGGTAAAGCAAGAGCAGCGTATGTGGCTATGGAGTCTGAGAATTCAATGGACTATGATTGTGTTAAACAGACGATACTTGACAAGTTTGAAATTAATCCAGAAACCTTTCGGCAACGTTTCAGAGCGTACAGTCTAGGTGATGATGAAACACCATGTGAACTGTATGTGAGACTGAAAGATCTGTACGAAAAGTGGATGGTCCCTTCACGTCGAACTAAACAAGAAATTGGTGATCAAATAGTACTGGAGCAGTTTCTCAAATTGCTGAACCCAGAAGCAAGAACGTGGGTGAAGCAGAATGGCCCTACATCGTGTCAACAAGCGGCAGAACTGGCAGAGACATTCATGGCTGCGAGGCGATCACTGCATCAGCCGAGACGATGGCGAGACATCCACCACAGCCCAACCGGTAAGTCTGGGGATGCTAAGGGTAGTGGTCTGAGAAATTTTGATGCTGATAGACGGACATTGCAAAATAGTTCTACTCTGAGTAACAGTATGCGTGCAAGTGGAGTTAGCCAGTATAACAGAAGGTCTGTGATAATATGTCATACATGTGGTCAGGCAGGGCATAAAAGAGCTGAGTGTCCAGTGCAAAACATGTCTGCTACTCGCTTGTGTTATGAGTTAAGATCTTCTGTGAAGCTAAATGAGATTGAACTGAACACAGACACAGTAGTGGAGGTGAAGATTGGAAATACGTTGTTTAAAGCATTGGTTGATTCAGGTTCAAGCCAGACATTAGTGAGACCAGAGTGTTTGGGAAAGTCAAATGTGCTGAAACAGGATAAGCTGAGAGTCTGTTGTATACATGGCGATGAAAAAGAGTATCCTAAAACGGAGATGGTGATTGAAATTGAAGGCCAAGCCTATAAGTTATCAGTTGGAGTAATTGACAAATCCCCTTATCCAGTGATATTAGGCAGAGATATACCTGTGTTGGTGGATTTGTTGCAGAGTGATGACAAGGTAGCAGATGCAAGGGTTGTAACCAGAGCACAGGCTAATCAAGAAGAGGTTACTAAACAACTTTTACAAGATTTACCATTCAATGTGGCTTCCAAAAACAGGAAATCTAGGAGGGAGAAACGGCAGGATAAAGTAATGGGTACTGAGGTAATTGAAAATGTGAAACAACCGAATTCAGATGATCTCGAACAAATTCCTCATGATATTGTGCAGTTGCAAAGGCAGGATGAAACTTTAAAACCGTTGTTTGAGAAAGCTAAGGCTGATAGTACAAGGTCGGCATTAATTCAGAAAGATCAACTGGTGATCAAGGATGACAAGTTGTACTTAATAAGTGCTGAAGGTGAGAGATTGGTGGTACCGGAGTCTATGAGATTGAAGGTATTACAATTGGGACATTCCGTACCTTGGGCAGGACATTTAGGCCAGCAGAAAACACTGGCGAGAATTGCTGGTAAGTTCTTTTGGCCTAAGCTCTATACAGACGTTATCGATTTTTGTAAATCATGCCCAGAATGTCAGATGGTGAGACCAGCTAAAAAGAGTGACAGAGTACCTCTGGTAAGCTTGCCTATTATTGACATACCATTTTCTCGTATTGCGATGGACATCGTAGGACCTTTGGAAAGGAGTAGATCTGGTAATAAGTACATTCTTGTTGTTGCTGATTACGCTACGCGTTATCCAGAGGTGTTTCCTCTCAGAAACATCAAGACAAGGCAGGTTGTCAATGCACTGGTTCAACTTTTTTCTCGAGTAGGATTGCCTAAAGAGATAATCACAGACCAGGGTACTAATTTTACGTCTAAGTTAATGAAACAAGTTTGCTCAATGTTGCGCATACATCCTATCCAGACCACTCCTTATCACCCTCAGACCGATGGTATGGTGGAGAAGTTTAACCAGACCTTGAAGTACATGTTACGAAAGTTTGTGTCTGATACAGGAACTGATTGGGACCAATGGTTGCCGTATTTGATGTTCGCTTATCGTGAAGTCCCACAGTCATCAACAGGCTTCTCGCCATTCGAGATGCTATATGGACGTCAGGTTCGGGGACCGTTGGATGTGCTAAAAGAGGCTTGGGAAGGAGATAGTGCACGTGAGAAAACAAACATTTTGTCATATGTCATGAAGATGAGGGAGAAATTGGACTCAATGGCCGAGGTTGTGAGGGCTAACATGACAAAAGCACAGCAGCAACAGAAACATTGGTATGATCAGTCAAGTAGGAAAAGAACACTGAGCCCAGGGCAGAGGGTATTGTTATTGCTCCCTACTACAGAAAGTTCTCTTTTGGCCAAATGGCAAGGGCCATATGAAGTGCTTAGAAAGCTGAGTCCCACAAATTATGAGATTGCTGTACCTGACCGTAGAAAAAAGTCTCAGATCTTCCATATTAATCTTTTGAGGCCTTGGAATGAGAGAAAAGGCTCATGGTCAGAGCAGCTGTGGGCGAGGAAAGTGGAGGATGAAGAGGAATTGGAGGAACAATATTTTCCTGTTAATTCAAATTCAACTTTCCCACTAATTGATCATCTAACACCCAAACAGCAAAAAGAGTTCCAGAGTCTAGTTCCAGGGGGTCTCTTTTCTGACAAACCAGGAAGAACAAAACTTTTGCATCACGATATTCGTTTGCTTGCAACAGAGCCGATCAGGCAAAGTCACTGCAGAGTGCCAGCACGCCTGATCCCTGCCTTGAAAGAGGAAGTGCAAATGATGCTGGAGTCTGATATCATCGAGCCCTCAACAAGTGAATGGTGCAGCCCAGTGGTATTGGTACCCAAGAAAGACGGCACGCTCAGATTCTGCGTTGATTACTCGAAACTGAATGCAGTATCATCTTTCGACCCTTATCCGATGCCGAGAGTCGACGAGTTGATCGAACAACTAGGCAAAGCTAAGTATTTAACAACGTTAGATTTGTGCAAAGGATATTGGCAAGTTCCTTTAACTGATTCTGCTAAGAACTTGACTGCTTTTCGTGTTCCAGCAGGGCTATACCATTTTAAGTATATGCCATTCGGTCTGCACGGGGCCGCAGCAACCTTCCAACGCCTGGTGGATCAAGTGCTGAGGGGTCTGGACAGCTTTGCAGCAGCATACATTGACGATATCGTCATCTTTAGCGAGTCTTGGGAACAGCATCAGGAACACTTGACAAAGGTGTTTGAAAGAATTCAGCGGGCAGGTCTGGTGGTAAATGCCAAGAAATGCCAGATAGCCAGACAGGAAGTTTCTTTCTTGGGATACATTGCTGGAGGAGGTTCAGTGAGACCTCAAGTGGACAAGCTACAAGCAATTTTGTCATGTGCACCTCCATCGTCGAAGAAAAGTGTCAGATCCTTTTTAGGTTTGATCGGCTGGTACAGAAGGTTTATACCTAACTTTGCCAGCAGAGCAGCACCACTGACTGAACTTACAAAGAAAAGCAGTTCCACTAAAGTCAAGTGGACACCTGAATGTGAACGTGCCTTTCAAGATCTTAAGTCCTGTTTATGTAAAGACCCTGTGTTACAAAGTCCGAACTTTGAGTTGCCATTTGTGGTACAAACGGATGCATCTGAGTTGGGACTGGGGGCAGTACTGTTACAGGGGGAAGGAGAAAACCGTCGTCCAGTTCAGTACATAAGCAGAAAACTTTTTCCCCGAGAGACTAAGTATTCCACAGTGGAGAAGGAGGCCCTAGCCATCAAATGGGCCTTGGACACGTTGAAGTACTATCTGATTGGTAAAGACTTTGTGCTTGAGACCGATCACAGAGCATTGCAATGGCTCAAGAGAATGAGAGACACTAACGCAAGAATAACACGATGGTATTTATCCCTGCAACCTTTTAAATTTGAAATCCAATATAGACCAGGAGTGCTTAATGTTATGGCTGACTTTTTGTCACGTCACTCCTGAGGTCGTGACTGTTTAGAGGAAGGGGGGTGTGTGATGATGAACCTGTAGGTTATCACCATGTGAACATCCGTTCACAGTGTTGTTGTTTACATTGTCTTTTTGTTTAATGTTATAATTGTTTTCATATTGTTTATTTTTGATTAAGGATATTATTTGTGATTATGTATCTGTTTGGATTTATATGCAAGAACACTGATATTGAATGTTTCCATTGTCAGGGGAGTTATTCGACCCCTACAGTTGGTATGACCCACTAGTTTTGGCGGGAAAATAGCATATATAAAGGAGTGAGGCTAATTGAGTGGGGAGAGACGGGCCATGTGCCAGTACTAGTACAGTCCAATGCTGTAGGATGTGTCGTGATTGTCAGAGGTTTGTTCCTCGAGGCTGGATTTGATGCCATGTTTTTGCTGCTTTCAGCATGTTTTATTTATGTTTTGTAATGTTTATTTTGAGTATTTTTTTGATGATTTCTTTTGTTTATTTTTGAACTTGATTTGAAGCACGTGTGCTGAGACAGCTGTCCTCAATAAATTCACCTTCAACGATTTCCTGCATGGTACTCCAGTTATTCCATCCTTTCCCGGGCCTATCGGCAAATAAATTGACGCAACGACTCAGGGTAATGGTATTCAACTAGACCTCTGACAACAAATCAGTGTGGCATTCTAACATCAGGCGGCTGTTGTTGAAACCACATCCCGACAGTCCTCTTTTTCCCGGACATGTCTGGCCGTCAATGTCCGATTTAGCTTTTGCTTTCTGCGGTCGCCATTCATCGTTTACATGCACAGCTTTTGTTTCAATCTAACTGAATTCATTCCATTGGTGAATCTGAATTTAGTGTTTACATGGAAGCTAAACAAGTGATCGGTTGATGTGCGTTTTAACATTGCTAAGAAAATTCCCGCTCCTCCGTGAGAGATACGAGACCGGTAACTTACGTCTCATCGGTACTCACGCCACCGGCCTCACGTCGTTCTCCACACGGCCCTCACTCGTCCTGCTCGCCTCAGTAAACATGATGAATGACGACTGTAGAACCACATTTTTGGGCAGACTCATCACAGAGACTCACTAGTAGCCTAGACTTGTTGTTGTTTAACTACTGCGCGGTTACCGGTAGGCGTGGCCTCCAAGGGCAGCGAAGCAAGTGCATTCTGGGAGTTGTTGTCTTTCATCCACATAAGCCAAAAATACATTTTCTGTCATTTCTCAGTCTAGAAAGCTCCAAATTCAAAAATAATTTCACATTTCTTCTACATAAATTACCCATTTTAAATACACATTCATCTTTCCAGAAGTGGAGTGACCCTTTAAGAAAAATAAATACTTTTTACTGTGCCTTCCAAAAAAAAAAGAGTTTAATCAATTCAGTCTCTGTAACCCTTTGGTTCTAAGTGTTGTTTGATACCTTTAAGCTGGCAAGAGCAGGAATTCCCTCCAGGTCGGTCAGACCGCATCGGGACAGCCATAACACCTGCAGGTGGGACAGCCTGGTTCCCAGATCCCTGAGGAAATACTGAGAATAATAAGAACATTGCATTCTCTGAAATTGAATGTAGTCTGTTGTGCATTCTTTAAAATATTAGTTTATTCTTATGTTTGTAGATGGTTGTACATGTAACACAACCTGTCCATGTTGGCAAATATCATTTTGAAGCCCAAATTTTCATTTGCTGCGTCCCAATTCGCATACTATCCGTCCTAAATAGTATTCGAAAATAGAATTAGTGCGTCCCAAACTGTAGTATGTTGTAGTGTAGATCGTGTGTAGATCGTGTAGATCGATGCACACTCTAACGGCTGATATAGAGAGCCTAAGTCCCGCCCCTCCGCTTCCAGCTCATGGGACCTTATTTCGGAAAAAATATGAATGGTAGTCAATGGCGAGAGACAACTTATCTTTTTATTCCATCTGAACTGTGCCCTCAATTACACATATGATTTTGTCAATTTAAAAGATAATTCTGAAAGTCAAAAACGTCGCAGTTTGTCATTCAACAAAAGAGTAACAGTTAGTTTTATGTGAAAATCGATCTGTGAACTACATCTCCCGGGAAGCGAAACGAGATCCGCTGCTCGTGAGTGTGCAGTCTGGTACAAAACACTCAGGTTTGACGGCGTAACGTTACGATTATAACGTAAGACTGTAGAAACAATGACAGACAGCCTCAGTAAAGTTAGCTTCATTCATTGGGAGAAAATGTGCGCCTTTGGGGTTTGTAGTCTTTGTAATTACGTATTTTCACAGTCTTATACCTCAACGGTTTTACATCAAACTGCAACTTTCTTTACTTTAAAATGTATCTTTTAAATTGACAAACATCATATGTGTAATTCAGGGCACAATTCAAACGAGATCAAAATATTTGTTGTCTCTCGCCATTGACTACCATTCAATATTTTTCCGAAATAATGTCCCATGGTGGTCGACCGGAAGGGGAGGGACTTAGGCTCTCTATTGCCCACAACCCTTTGAGCATTGAATAAGGATTCAGTTAGAACTACAAACACGAGTAAAAAGTGTTAATAAACTACAGACACGGAGGACACGCGAGATGTTGAGAGGTTTAGATAAAGAGGTTTGAGTGATTAATTAACACTATCTGACCTGACGTAAATTAATTTATTAAATGTTCTTCACATTATATTGCATCTGTAGCAGCATTGTGAACTTTTGTAAGGATACGTTTAGCCATTACTTTTTAAATGCATCATCATTATTGTAATGATCCACAAGGAACAGAGGAAGCCATTTGCAGCTTTATTAACAAAGTCGTACAGGCAGGGTCAAAACGAGGCAGACAGAACAATGCAGACAGGACAGCGGAATAACCAGTATACAGGCAGAGATCAGGGCAGGCAGCAATAATCGTAATCAGGATACAGTCCGAGTTCAGGCCAGGCAGATAGCAATCGAGAGAGAGTCAAACAGTCCAAAGTCCAAAACCAGAAAATCAGAATCAGGGGTATAAACGCTCAGAAATGATCACCGGGGCAAATCAAGACTTCGCACTGGTGTGGTGTGTGGAAGTGGCTTTATTGTGTGTGTGCTAATGCGGTGCAGGTGTGTGACGCAATCAGTCCCAGGTAAGAGGTATGATGGGAATTTGAGTTTAAAGCCAATGGTTAATCCTCCATTGTAACAGAGCCCCCCCCCTGCGAGCGGCTCCTGACGCGAGGAGGCAAATGTCGTCGGGGTCTCCCACGGGGTCGAGGGGCCGGTTTTTCCGGATATGTCCTATGAAACTCTTCCGTGAGAGTGGGGTCCAGGATATCCCTTGAGTTGACCCAGGACTGTTCCTCCGGACCGTACCCCTCCCAATCGACCAGATATTGGAGAATGTTACCCCGACGTCTGGAATCCAGCAACTTGTGCACCTTGTACGCCTCCTCGCCGTCGACCAGAAAGGCAGGAGGGCTCTGGGAGGTGGCCCCCTCCTCCGCTTCTCCCCTCGGACCACCAGCGGGTTTCAACAGAGACACATGAAAAGTGGGAGAAATGCGGTAATTAGCGGGCAGGTCTAATCGAAATGAAACAGGTGAAACTTGTCTTATAATTTGGAAGGGACCAACATACCTGGGACTGAGTTTGCGACATGGTAGTCTGAGTCGAAGATCCTTGGTGGACAGCCATACCCACTGACCCGCCTGATATTAGGGAGCTGGACGACGACGACGATTGGCCTGTTGCTCTTGGCGCCGTACTGCATGCCGTAGGTGAGTATGTGCTTGATCCCAGACCTCTTCACTCTTGCGGAGCCACTCCGTGACAGATGGGAGTTCTGTGGGTTCACCAGACCAGGGAAACAGAGGTGGTTGGAATTCGAGAATGCACTTGAATGGTGTGATGCCAGTTGTTGGTTTAATGAGGGAGTTCTGAGCATATTCGGCCCAGAATAGATATCTACTCCAGTCTTCTTGGTGTTGCTGACAGTAAGTGCGTAGAAATCGTATGATGTCCTGATTGAGGCATTCGGTTTGTCCGTTGGATTGTGGATGGTACCCGGAGGTGAGACTGATGTTCACGTTGAGGTTCTTAAAGAATGCGGTCCAGACTCGAGATGTGAATTGAGGTCCACGGTCAGATACAATGTCTTCTGGTAAACCATAGAAACGGAAGACTTGATTACATAGGATCTCGGCGGTTTCAAGAGAGGTGGGAAGTTTGGTGAGGGGGACCAGTCGGCATGCTTTGGAGAATCTGTCTACTATGGTGAGGATGGTGGTGTAGTTCTGGGAATTCGGGAGGTCTGTGATGAAATCGATGGCTATGTGTGACCAGGGTCGTTGCGGTGTGGGTAGAGGACAGAGGAGACCAGAGGGTAGTTTTCGGGGTGATTTTGAGGTTTGACATTCGGTGCAGTTTTGGATATGGGTGATGGTATCTGAGGTAAGGGTAGGCCACCAAAACCGGTTCTTGAGTAGATGAATTGTGGCGTTGATTCCAGGGTGACCAGAGCTGGGATTGGAGTGAACTTGATCTAGGAGACGGGATCGAAATGTGTCTGGAACAAAGAGGAGATCTGCAGGACATTCAATGGGTGATGGATTTTGGGCATTGGCGTTTTGAATCTCCGTTATGACATCCCACTGAACAGGAGCTAGCAGTAATTTCTCTCCAAGAATCTTTTCTGGATTGGGATTTGGGTTTATCTCCTCAGTTTGACGGGATAGAGCATCAGCTTTGGTGTTCTTGGATCCGGGACGGTAGGTGACAGTAAAATTAAACCTGGTGAAGAAGAGAGCCCATCTGGCTTGGCGGGGATTGAGGCGTTTGGCTGATCGTAGATATTCCAGGTTTTTATGGTCTGTGAGTACAATGAATGGTTCGGTTGCTCCTTCCAGCCAGTGTCGCCATTCTTCCAGTGCTAACTTCATGGCTAGTAATTCGCGGTTGCCCACATCATAGTTGCGTTCAGCGGGAGAGAGTTTACGAGAAAAGAAGGCACATGGAAACATCTTGGCTGGATTCCCTTGACGTTGTGAGAGGATGGCCCCCACCCCTGTGTTCGAAGCGTCCACTTCGACAATGAATTGGCGTTCGGGGTCCGGATGACGCAGAATGGGTGCAGTAGTGAACCGTTCCTTGAGTTCTTGAAAGGCCTGTTGTGCTTCGGTGTTCCATGCAATACGAGAAGTGTGTCGTTTGGTCAGAGCGGTTAGAGGGGCGGTGATCAGACTGAAGTTTCTGATAAATCTTCTGTAGAAGTTTGCAAAGCCTAGAAATCTTTGTAGTTCTTTCACTGTTTGCGGTACTGGCCAATCTACCACTCCTTTTACCTTCTTCTCATCCATCGCAACTCCATCTTGGCTGATTATGTATCCCAGAAATGAGATGCTAGTCTGATGAAACTCACACTTCTCCATCTTGGCGTACAGGTGAAACTGGATTAATCGTTGAAGGACCGATCTGACATGTTGGACGTGTTCTTCAAGAGAGTTGGAGTATATTAAGATGTCATCAATGTAAACGATCACCCATCTGTCCAGCATGTCTCGGAAAATATCATTCATGAATGCCTGGAATACTGAAGGACTGTTGGACAGGCCGAAAGGCATAACCAAGTACTCGTAGTGCCCACTAGTGGTGGAGAAGGCAGTTTTCCACTCGTCCCCTTCACGGATGCGAACCAAGTTATAAGCGTTGCGTAAATCGAGCTTGGTATAATATTTGGCTTGTCGGAGTTGCTCTAATGCTGCAGGTACAAGAGGCAGTGGATAGCGGTATTTGACTGTGATATCGTTTAGTCCTCGATAATCAATGCAGGGTCTGAGTCCTCCATCTTTCTTCTTTACGAAGAAGAACCCGGCGGCGGCTGGTGAGGTTGATGGTCGAATGAAGCCCTTAGCAAGTTCCTCTTCTATGTACTGTTTCATGGCTTCTGATTCGGGTCTGGATAACGGGAAAATTCTTCCTTTTGGAGGAGTGGTACCGGGGATCAAATCGATGGCACAGTCAGTGGGACGATGTTCAGGGAGTTGTGAAGCTTTTTCTTTACTGAATGCCTCGATCAGATCTGCATAGTTGGAAGGTAATGATTCGAGCTCAGGTATTGTCGTGCAGGATGCTGGAATGGACTGGACTACTCGGGTGACCTTGGTTAAACACTGATTCTTGCAGGTTTCGTCCCAACGAATGATTTGACCTTCTCTCCAAGAAATCTGAGGGTTATGAGATTGGAGCCATGGATATCCCAGAATGATAGAGTGACGTGGAGCGTGAATGACGTAGAATTGAATGTTTTCAGAATGCAAAGATCCCATGTCCATCTTGATGTCTGTAGTGACACACTGGATTCTCCCTTCTCCAATGGGATGTCCATCTAGCACCTCCACTGTTAGAGGAGGATGACATGGATTCAATTTGACGTTACATTGTTCAGCGAATGATTGAGACATGAAATTTCCAGCGGCTCCCGAGTCAATGAAGGCTGTGGTATCAAACACTTGTTCTTGAATGGTCAAACGAACTGGAATTGCGAGGTTGTTAGAGGAAATTCTTTTATTAACTGGAGAACTCACCGGAGAATTATGCGATGATGGTCGTACAGGACAGGAGAGTTTCATGTGTCCAGGTTGACCGCAGTACATACATAGCCGGTTCTGATATCTGCGTTCTCGTTCCTCTGGAGTGATATGTGTGTGCCCCAGCTGCATGGACTCATGAGGGGTTGCTGCTCTGAGAAAAACTCGGTTTGCTGCCCGGGGTTTGCGTCGAGCACGAATCAGATTGTCGACTTGAATGGCCAGAGAAATATACTCATTCAAACCTCTCCCCTCGTCGCGACAGGCTAACTCGGACTGAAGTTCTGGGGTGAGTCCTCTTCTAAAGAGCGTTTTTAAAGTATCTTCCACCCAATTGGTTTGTGCAGCGAGTGTTCGAAAAGTCAGAGCATAATCAGCGGTGGTATCCTTTCCTTGTGTGAGATTTAACAGTTGCTCTCCCGCATCTCCTTCTCCTGTGGTATGCTCAAAGATTTGTCGAAACTGTTGAGTGAAATCTTGAAAAGTGGTGAACGTATTCCCCTCTAGCTTCCAGATGGCCGTAGCCCACTCCAATGCTCTGCCGGTGAGCAGTGAGCATACAAAAGCAATGCGACTCCCGTGAATGGGGTAAAGTGCAGGTTGTTGATCGACGAATATGGTGCATTGTAACAGGAACCCTTTACATTTACTTGGTGTGCCATCAAATTTCTCAGGAAAAGCGAGCCATGGATTGACTGTTGTACTCACATTTGCAGGAGGGATTCTCGGCAATGGAGGAGGATCGGGCGGATTGGGTGTGGCACCGACAGCGGTACGAAGCTCTTGCATACCCTGTACAAGCTGTTCAGTGAGAGTGGTTAGGTGGCTGAGCTGCTGATGGTGTAGATCCAAACGAGAAGCCTGAGTGGTGAGTTCGGTGGTTAACTGTAGGACAGCTGCTGGATTAGAAGATGGCGAAGTCTTCTGTAATGATCCACAAGGAACAGAGGAATCCATTTGCAGCTTTATTAACAAAGTCGTACAGGCAGGGTCAAAACGAGGCAGACAGAACAATGCAGACAGGACAGCGGAATAACCAGTATACAGGCAGAGATCAGGGCAGGCAGCAATAATCGTAATCAGGATACAGTCCGAGTTCAGGCCAGGCAGATAGCAATCGAGAGTCAAACAGTCCAAAGTCCAAAACCAGAAAATCAGAATCAGGGGTATAAACGCTCAGAAATGATCACCGGGGCAAATCAAGACTTCGCACTGGTGTGGTGTGTGGAAGTGGCTTTATTGTGTGTGTGCTAATGCGGTGCAGGTGTGTGACGCAATCAGTCCCAGGTAAGAGGTATGATGGGAATTTGAGTTTAAAGCCAATGGTTAATACTCTGGTGAAGGCTCCCTCTGGTGGCGGAGAGGAGGCGGAGCGGAATCCTCCATTGTAACAATTATATTCAAATTGCAAAACACGAGGAAAGTATACATGAAAGACCCATGACTGGCAGATTATCGTGCTCCGATGCGGTAAGAAATCAAATTTTATGAGGATTTTAACTGTGACGAGATGATTGACAGGGCAGTTTATGGTGACAGGATGCACGCGACAGAGCTGTCCGTTAAAATTGACGTGATAGTATGTCCCAAAGCTTGCCTACTTTTTTGCTACACACTCAAAAGTATGTACTTTTTCTTCACAAAAAGAGTAAATACTTTTAGGGCGTAGTATAAGTAAGCGAATCGGGATGCAGGGATTGTCTTCCCATGTGAAAAGTACATGTATGAAAATGTACTATTTTTAAATGTACTAGTTAGTACTATGTACTAAAGCGATAATTCAGCCCAAAATGAAAATCACTTACCCTTGTGCTGTTGCAAACCTGTATGAGTTTGTTTCTTCTGTTGAAAAGAAGACAGGTTGAATATACTGTAGAAAAGAAGATACTTTAAAGAGAATGTTCTGGTTACCAACATTGTTCAAAATATCTTTTTTTTTGCTCGGTAGAAGAAAGAAACTCATACAGATTTGGAAAACTTGAGGATTAAGTGATGACAACATTTTCATTTTTGGGTGAACTCCCTTTATGAGCAGTATTAATATTCTGCTAAATATCTTCTGCTGTGTTCCACGGAGAAAAGTCATTCAGGGTTTAGAACGAGGGAAAGTAACTGTGATGACATATTTTATATTTTTGGTTGAATTATTTCTTTCTGGATGTAACAAAGTAACAATGTTGTGGAATTGAGGTCTTACCGCACAGATGAGATCAAACTGTTGTTCATTTTCAGCTGTGTAAGTTTAGGCAAGTATATTCCTGTGAGACAAAACACAAACATTCATCAGATTTCATAAAGGTAATGTCTTCATTGTCCATCCAGCCATTTCAATAGAAACAGCAATCACATTTGGACCATTTCTATTTTTTCAAAAAAATTTTTTAAATGTGACTGATTTTTATGCCAACATGTGGCTCCCCCAAATTCGTAATACAAGCAAATGTAAAAATAGATATATTATAAAAAAAAAATACAAAAAAAAAAATATATATATATAGGCTACATTTTCTAAATAAATAAATAGCACATTTTAACAAATAAAAATCTCACCAAAGTTGTCTAAAGTGTCCTGTCTGGTGTCAACACACATCTCTAGCGACTTCACTTCTTGTAGATTTTCTGATCCAGTCAGGATTTTCTGAGAGGGGAAAAAAGACATTGAATCTATAAACATCAGGTGGTTTTGCGTTAAATAAACAGTACAATAACGTTTTTTTTTTTGTTTGTTTGTTTTTTTACATTTATCGCCCAATTCATAGGAAAAGTTAGTGTTTAGCTTTTATATTAATTGAGAGCCTACCAACTTTTCTGGTGAGAGACATAGTTGATCCATCATCAGGTCGGAGATATCGGGGCCAGCAGGTTTAGGGTTTGATGATATAAACTCATCCACTGTGTTCTTCTGCGATGCTTCACTCGACATCTGCAACTTTTGCTTTCCTGTCCTGAAATGTTAACAGTTTTAGAGAAAATGGCAAACTTAATGAATTAAGTAAAATGTGTCATACTATGTGCGTTCTATCTTCATACATATTAATTATTTTCTTACCTATTGAGCGTTAACAACGTGATTGTTCAGCCTCACTCAACAGCAAGTTTGGATAGCAACGGGAACTACTTCCTGGATACGGGGCACGTAGGGTTTGTAGTTTGTGGGGCCAGCCAGCCTCATAAATAATAAATAAAAACATTGCTTATATGTTTAAAAAGAAACATAAAAGTTACCAGACAGGAATAATAGGAATTAATATATATATATATATATAAATGTTTAAAGATAGCACATGCTCAAAAAGTTACCCTGGCTGCAAATAAGTCAATTTTTAATTTCGCTTTCAATTTTATTTGATCTCTTTCTTTCTAGAAGTAGGGTATATGGACTCAAAAGTCTCAATTGAAAAAAAAAAAAAAACCTCAGTTATACAATTGTAACCTGATTTAGTTATAAACTTCAACAATGAATAATTGAAGTACTTTAGCCTAAATAAAAACATTAAGTGTCACAGGGTTAATACAATCCATTTTTTTTTTCAATTAGAGCAATTCAACAGGTTTTTTTTGTATTTCAAAAACATTTGACATTATTTTACTTTAATTCACTTATCCATAAATCTTTTGCATAATCACACTCCAAAAATAAATTTATAGTTTCTAAATGAGAACATCATGTAGCCACACACGAAGAGAGATAGACATTCTCTGGAGAGAATGCAAGGACAGCAGCTTGGTAACCATATATATATATATATATATATATATATATATATATATATATATATATATATATATATATATATATATATATATATATATATATATATATATATATATATATATATTATTTAGTTATGCAATAAAAAATGATACAGTACGAGCAACTGTATTGTGGCGGGTGTGGATAGTAGGCCTACTAATCCCATTGGTTGTTGTGTTATTAAGGGTGGGACAAAGCCTTGTGATTGGCTGTGCTCTTGGTTGATCAGCCCGTCAGGCACTGAACGAGTCACCGATCAACGTCACCAGTATCTACTTAATATTCACAAGCTCAGCCTTTGCCATAGTAAGATTGGTGAATCTGCTGCCGGGGCGGTCCTGTGTGTTGTGTGGGGCTGGGCGTAGGCTGTACTACTGCTGCTCACACACACAAACACACACACACACATACAGCGGAGCACATTGTTCACACAGAACAGTCTGCTACATATAATACAATCCAGGAAAATCTCGATAAACGAAGTCTGCTGAAGAGTGACTGTATCCGGGGAATCAGAGGTGAAGTGTACATTTTTTGCTATTGAACCACAAATCGTTTGCAGTCAATGTATTGTAACGTGACTCTAAGTGGCAAATATTGTTTACCTTAAACATATTGCTATTATCGGGCACAATTGCCCTATATTTATGGTAATGATCAGTGCGTTTTTATAATCGCATGAAGTATGTTTACATATGTGTGATGTGAACAATCAGTCATCGATAGATCTATAGATTCCAGTACTGTTGTGAATTTTCTGTATCCTGCGTTTTATTCAAAATGGTTTGTTTGGAATTTAAATAGAAAACTCGTTTAGTGTTTATTTAATTAGTTTATATTTTATTCACCCTTCACATGGAAACCTGTTCAATCATCTAAAAAAAAAAACTGAATCTGTTCATTTACATTGAATCAGACTCTAGTAATCGATCAAACTCACCATGGCTTCTCTTTCCCGACAACTTGCATTTATTGGAAAAGATTTCAAGTCTAACACTGAATGTAAACATGTTCTTTAATTGTCTAATTTGTTAAGTTTTGGTGGCATCCATGTGACAGTTACGAGCCTCTCTGTAAACTCGGGTGACGCCCCATAGCACCCGACGAACAATTGCAAATTCTACTATGAAGAAGACTAGCTCATGCATATTAAGTAGTTTTCGCCGTAGCGTTCCAATTGCGACGGACTGTTTGCTGAATATCAATTAGTTTCTGCTGACGTCGCTTAGTAGCCCACCAATGACAATGGTTCGATCATGAATATTAATATACCTCAGCATAGTAGGATTCGTAATTCCTGGACTATGAAGAGCAGTGCGGAAGTTTAATAGTATGTTTTATAGCAGAACAGGCACGTTTAGGTGGCTTGAGTACTTAAAGGGTTAGTTCACCCAAAAATGAAAATTAAGTCATTAATTACTCATCCCCATGCTGTACCAACCCCGTAAGACCTTCGTTCGTCTTCGGAACACAAATGAAGATATTTTTGATTAAATTTGAGAGCTGTATAACTACCACATTGGCTCCTAAGGGACTGCCTCTTGACGGCCCAAAAAGTCAATGAAGAAAATGTTTAAATATCCCAAGTGACTACCGTGGCTCAACTATATGTTTATCAAGCGACGCGAATACTTTTTGTGCGAAAAAACAAACAAAAATAACGAGTTTATTCGACTATTTCTTTTCTTCCTTGTAGGCCAGAACGAGACTTCCTTATAGATTTCCACGACGCATGCGCGAGAATTGCGATCTAATCTGGTGTAAGCAGATCGCAAATCTCGCGCATGCGTCGTGGAAATCTAAGGAATTCTCGTTCTGGCCTACAAGGAAGAAAAGAAATAGTCGAATAAACTCGTTATTTTTGTTTGTTTTTTCGCACAAAAAGTATTCACGTCGCTTGATAAACATATAGTTGAGCCACGGTAGTCACTTGGGATATTTAAACATTTTCTTCATTGACTTTCTGGGCCGTCAAGAGGCAGTCCCTTAGGAGCCAATGTGGTAGTTATACAGCTCTCAAATTTAATCAAAAATATCTTCATTTGTGTTCCGAAGACGAACGAAGGTCTTACGGGGTTGGTACAGCATGGGGGTGAGTAATTAATGACTTAATTTTCATTTTTGGGTGAACTAACCCTTTAAGCAGCTCTACAGAAGTTATATTGCACCTCTATAATATTTATGGGCTACTGCACAGTGTGATTCGTAGATTTTATCTTTAGTTTCAAAATGAAAGTAACCAATGTGTTTTTCTATAGCCCTTATAGACTGTTAACTGTTATTTTGAGATAATGTCAGAAGGTGCTATCGTATAATGCGTCTCCATTTTATGAACTATTTTTTACAGGCTCTTTTCAATGTGAGGGAAATATGAGCCTGATATTATTCTTGTATGCCTTTGTTTTCGGCCGTGCCAAAGTCTATAAATTTGAACCAAAATCTGCTGAAAAACAGGTGTAAGCCAGTCTGGGATGTTTTTTGGTCTCAGTAGGTGTCCCAGACAGGTCTGTTGGCTGGTTTTAAAGTGGTTTTGGGCATGTCAGGTCTGTGATCACTCATTTTCAAAGAAACAGTTTCAGGCCTCCCAACATTCAGTCAAACGATTAATAAAAACTCGTTCCGAGTGGTTGGTCGCTACTGTGTTCAGATGGCCTAGCTGAAGACCAGCCAGGTTAATCTAGTTATGATGACCATCTCAAACCAGTGTTTTTCTTATTCACTACAATTGTTTACATTTATGCGTTTGGCAGACACTTTTATCCAAAGCAACTCTGCATTTCAAAGTACACAATACACATTAACATTCTTATCAGTTCTTGGTTTCTCTGAGAATCAAACGTAAAAACGTAAACTTATAAAAACTCAGGGTATCGTTACACAACAATGATATACTAAAAACAGAAACGTTTTTCCTTTGTGTTTTTCGCGTACAGACGACAACGTTTTCAAAACAATCCCCATTCACACAAATCTGTGAAAACGACTAGGAACGCTGTATTATTCATGCCAGACCAGTAGTTGGCGATGTCATTTGTTTTTTTTTATACTTTATTTGAATTTCAAGACAATATTACAACAAAGATAAAACAAATACAAAATCATCTTAAATAATAATAACAAAAAAAGTAGCAATGTCATTTTGTAAAGAAAAACTATGCGTCTATAGAGTGAACATGGTTACACATGCGCATCACGTCATCCTACGTTTTTGTAGTTTACTTTACACAGAGACAAAAAGAGTATCGTTTCCAAAAATCTTGCACTTTGAAACACGTTTTCAAAAGTTTGCATTTTTTAGGCTCCCAAAATCATTTAATTCGTATTGAGTTTCAGATATTTGGAAGTATTCATATTTTTGTTTATTTCATTTTCACTGTGCGCATGACGTCTCATCTCAAATGTTTCCATTGCATTTATCTGCAACATAAAAACAATATCTTGAAGTGTGTGCAGTGAAGGGCAGCAGAATTAGGCTAGACAGATGTAATGATCTGGCTAGTGATGGTTATTTTGGGGGATGATGTCAGGAGCTTACTCAGCCTGGATCTGTTATGGTTTCTCAGTATTCGATTCCTTCGATTCCATTTCCCATGTGAGATTCCTTTTACTGTCTGATCCTGACTGGAAATCACTTAGGCCTTCTTCTTTTGTAGGGTTGTGGCTCAGGGAAAATTGATACTTAAGATTCTATTGGGACCATTTACTTGTGCTCTAACAGAATGTTTAGCAATATAAGATTTAAAATCACTGTAATTGTCAGGACATAAAGGTTCTCAATGATGAGGCAAATAATATTAATTTCAGATTGATGTCCATAAAATGCAGACCTGATAATGTCAGTAAGTTTATCCTGAGCTTAACTATTGGGTTTCAAAGTGACCTGTTCATATTTACCGCTCATGGTGACAGATTGAATGTATACTGCAGGTCTTAGTGCCAACGTCTAGTTCTTGCTTTCACACTTTGCTGTAGATTTTGAATGATAAATCATATTGTTGCTTTCATAAGCAATCAGACTTGCAAAATCAAAGGTTGCTTTCACACTTTAAAGGTCATAAAGTTACTATAATATTCTTGTGCTTGAATGCCTTTGGGCGTGCTTTTTAATCTTTATACATCTGAGCAAAAGCTTGCTGAAAAAAATATGCTTTATTATCACCAAATATTGGATTCAATCTTTTAGCGAACTCGTTTTCTTTCAATTAGGACAGCTTTCTATTTCTTTTTAGAACTTACTGATTGTAGACCTCCTTTAACTGAGTTTATGCACCTCAGTTTTTGAGTGAAAAAAAAAAACATCATTTGTGGATAGATTTG